GAAATTCCTCTATCTCATTGAATGTCAATTTTTTCCCCTCATGGATTATACTCAGTTTTGCTATGTAGGTAATTCTTATTTTTAATCTTAGCTCCTTTGACCTCAAGAATATCATATTCCAAGCCTTCTGATCCTTTAATGTAGAAGCTACTAAATCTTCATTTATCCTGATTATGATTCTAAAATACTTGAATTGCTTCTTTCTGGCTGCTTCCAATATTTTCTCCTTGACCTGGGAACTCTGGAATTTGGCTATAATATTCCTGGGAGTTTTCAATTTGGGATCTCTTTCAGGAGGTGGATTCTTTCAATTTCTCTTTTACCCTTTGGTTCTAGAATATCAGGGCAGTTTCCCTTGATAAATTCTTGAAACATGATGTCTTTTGGTTTTGTTTTATAATTTCTTGATTTCTCATAGAGTCATTAGCTTCCTCTTGCTTTATTCTAATTTTTAAGGAATTATTTTCTTCAGTGAGCTTTTGGACCTCCTTTTCCATTTGGCTAATTCTGCTTTTTAAGGCATTCTTCTCCTCATTGACTTTTTGGACCTCTTTTGCCATTTTGGTCCAGTCTATTTTTTTTAAAAAAAATTTTTATTGATGCTTTTTTTTTTTGGCCAGGCAATTGCGGTTAAGTGACTTGCCCAGGGTCACACAGCTAGTAAGTGTCATGTGTCTGGGGCCACATTTGAACTCAGGTTCTCCTGACTCCAAGGCTGGAGCTCCATCCACTGTGCTGCCACTCTAGTTTATTTTTAAGGTGTTATTTTCTTCAGTATTTTTTTGGGTCTTCTTTACCAAGCTGTTGACTCATTTTTCATTATTTTCTTGCATTGCTCTCATTTTTCTTCCCAAATTTTCCTCTACTTCTCTTACTTGATTTTCAAAATCCTTTTTGAGCTCTTCCATGGCCTAAGACCAAGGGTTTCATGTACTTCTGCAGGGAAGGTGGTCCTGTTGCTGTTTTCTTGGGGTGCTGAATATTATGTTATTCCAGGATCTCAGGCACAGCTCAAGCTAGGGACCACCAAGTTTTCAATGTTCTTAAAGTGGTCTGATCCAGATCAAAGTCTGATTGCTGCCCTCCTGGTCTGAGCTTTGCTAGTTCCTGACCCCAGTGCTAGACACAGCCACTATCTGCTAGATGGGAAGCTTTGCTGGTTTAGAATGACAAAACTGTAGGCTTCCTTTTGATATGATATTCCTGTCTTTATTATTATTCTTTTGTAGACTTGAGATGTTGGAACTGAGACCAAGCTCTGCTCCTGAGGATCTGAGCCATTCTGCTGCTATTTGCTTTTTAATTCATTCCTCTCTCTATACACAGTCCAGGACTTGGGGTTCCTCCTCACTTCATAATGCTAACCCTGGGCATAGTCTTCTCTTCAGTCCATTCTGGATCTATGATCTAAAACAGGGTACTAAGTGACAATGATTCTATTTCACACTTGTTCCTGTACCTTGCCTGAGATTTTGATGCCCTGTATACCTCTGGGACCTCCTCTTGTCTTGGTGCACACCCTGTCCTCTTTCACTCCCTGGATTCTGGAATGCTAAGAGATTTAGGCAGTTCTACTTTAATATTTCTTGAGATATGATGTCTAGGCTTTTCAGGGGGGGTTTCATGACTTTCAAGTAGTCAAGTGTTTCTTAATTTTTTTTCTCATGAATTTGTTTTTCAGGTCTGTTGTTTTTACTTTGAGACATCTTACATTTCCTTCTACATTTTCAGTCTTTTGACTTTGTTTTAATATTTCTTATTGTCTCATGGAATCTTTAGCTTCTCTTTGGTCCTTTCTAATTTTCAGGGAGTTCCCATTGTCCAAAGAACTCCCTATCTTTTTTTAATGACCTGAGCTGGAAAAATAACTCACTGTGATTTTTTTCCCTTGAATTTCCCCATCAGGATTCTGTCTGGTATGTTTTCTAGATCTGTTTGGAGGAGTTGGGGGTGGGGAAGTTCTCTGTTCTCTTCACTACTTTGCCATTTTTCTCTCCAATTCATTGCTGCTACCTCTGCCTTTTTTATGGTTTTGCATTCAAAACATTGAGTATCAAAACATGTTATTCACTCACTTCGGAGGATTTTATTGAGTACTTAACAGAATTTCCTTATATCTTTTGCAACAGAGGGTGATGGATAAGCTGCAATTAGTTCATGGTGGCCTTTTTTTGGCAAATATTTATCATAAACATTGCAAAAAAGAGATGCAAAAAAGTCCCATGAAATGTTTTATGTTGACTTTGTATGTACAATAAAATCAACACCATTGATTCTCTTATTTGCTTCTCCAAGGAGAAGCTGGATGTCATCCTTCTATTTATTTGCATCTTCCTTCTTATTTCATTTATAGTGAGAAATTCAAGGTTGATCCAGTTGTTTTCGTCCATTATGTCTACTTATTGGGGAGCATTTATTAAGTGCCTGTTACATACCAGACATTATCCTAGGTATTTTACAAATATCTTATTCGGTCCTCACAACAGCCCTGCAAGGTAGGTACTATTATTATCCTCTTTTTACAGTTGAGGAAACTGAGGCAAATAGGGCTATGTGACTTGCCCAGACTTCTGCCACTGTTAAGTGTATAAGGCTAGCTTTGAACTCAGGTCTACTGTCCCTTGATTTATTGATCGAGGATCTCACATCCAGAGTAGAGCTGAGTTAATATATGTAGATTATCTGAAACTTGTGATCCTTAGCCTCTGTACCTCTTTTCTCCACTCTGCCTCTGTCATTGCAGAAGTAAAATGCTGCACATGACTGAGGGCCATTTTGTATCTTGCTTTGTTTCATATACTGCCATGGCCAAAGAAAGAATTCACCACCAAGTGTTCAGCCTACTGGTCATAAGCCAAGTGGTCATGCTGCTGATAGAGAAGAAAAAGATGAATCAGAGTGAGGTCATTTGGGGAGGGGGGAATGACTCTTGCGAGGTAAAATATAATCAACAGCTATGACAATTTGAATACATTTTAACTGGTGAAAAGCTCAGAGAAGATGTGGATCAATGGGGAGCAAAGAGAAGCTCAATCCCTATCTTATACTGAGTTATGGGGAATGGGAGAAGTGGAGGCCTCCATGGAAGAAACAAGGGATGTGATTAGTTTTAGATGCGAAGTAAGACGCCCCGAGGAGAGCCAGTTTTCTGCTTATATGAGGAGAGGAAAAGGTGGGAAGAGAGGAAAAAATGGGTTTAGGCTAGAGGAGACATTTCTATCCCTCCATGGAACAGGAGTCACACTGGGCCTCGAGCCTGTGTTCACACAGTATCTCTGGGTCTCAGCAGGGGTAAGGGAGCACAGCAAAATAATAGGGTGGGTATGGTGTTGGGTGGAAATGAAGTATATAAGAAGAGTAGACAGCTAAACTATGCTGCAAAAGCTTCCTATGCCCAAGTCTCCTATGCGACTGTTAAAGTACCTCTAATTTGATTACTAGAGAGCCAGTGTTTGGGCCACAAAGGATGAAAAATATAATTATTAAACTGCAAATACCTCTGAAAGTGCCACTAATCACCATCACCTAACTTTAAGGGAGTGTATGACAGCTAAGGGTGAGGACCTGGGGGATAGGGTATAGGCTAGACCCTCCCTTCCCTCCCCAGGAGGGATCCCTGAGGACAAGTAAGGGTGTGGAGGATAGAGTGAAGGGAAAGATCAGTTTTTCAGGTAAAAGGGGACCACTTGTTACAAACAGTGGAGGAGAAAACAGGAGGAGACAGGATCCTGAATCCTGCTTCTCCATGATCAGGGAGTGGCCCAGCCACACCGGGGAGATCAGTGGGGCAGTAGATAGACACAAAAGCAGGCAGGCATAAAGACTGACCCTGAGAAGAAATGCAGTGTCCATGAAGCATCTCTCCTATAAAATCCCTCTGACTCGGGTTCCTCTGTATCTCTTTCCTACGGGAAAGAAAGGAGTTTCACCTTCCCATCGTCCTCCGTTCGGTTCCAATCTGAGGCGGACTACCTCCTTTAAATTGTCTCTGCCATTCCTTTTAAGCACCATGCCTACTGCCCCTCACCTGGAAGCGGTCCTTCCCTCCTTCTCGTTCCAGCAGCCCGGGAGACGTTTGCAGCCCTGAGTTTATCAGCCTGGAACGAACCGACTGCAGTTTGCAGATTTCTAACTGGGTTCCTTCTCTGCTCCCCCCCCCCCCCCCCCAGCTTCTCTTTCCCAGGATGGAGCAAGCAGACCCTAGAGTGAAGCTCTCAAGGACAAGACTTTCCCGGATTCCTATCGATTGCTATGTATCCCACACAAGCCTCGGCGCGTAGTAGGCGCTCAGGCCCCATTTGCTGGCTCGCTTAGCCAGCGGAGGGCCGAGCCAGGCTGTCCGGCCGGCGGGCGGGCGGCCATCCAGGCGGGCTCCGCGGACCCACTGGAGGGCGTCGGCGAGCCTGTCTTTGGAGCTCGGGCTCCGTGAGACCGGCTCCAGCCAGGACTGGGGCTTTTCTTTCACCAGCCAGCCTGGTCAGAGCCTGGGTTTCCCATTTTGGTGCAGTGGGTTGCGGGCTCGCCGCCGCCGCCCCCGCTGCCGCTCCTGCCGCTCTCCTCCTTTCACTGTCTTTCTGCTCCTCTAACCCAGGTCGGGACCCACCCCGTGCACCCCAGCCAGACCAGCCGCTGCCGCCGCCGCCACCTCGGGTGCCCTGAGAGAGAGAGAAAAGGGCAGCTTGCCCCTCCCCCGCTCCCGCCCCCAGTCCTGGACTCGTGGAGTCTGGAGCCGCGGCAGGAGCTGGCGGGAGGAGGGGACTCCTCCGTCAGTCCGTGCCTTTCTTTTTGCGCTGCGAGTCCGGCTCCTGCAGAGCCCAAGCCTGAACCCGGGCGGGAAGCGGGGGAAGGCGGCGGCACGTCTCCGAGCTGCCCGCCTAACGCTGGGGGCTTTGGGGCAGCGCTGGGGGCCTGGACGGACTGACCCTGTGCCCTCGGGGCTATTCTAACTTAGGGGGGCTTGCCTCCTCCTGGCCCGGCTCAGCTTCTTGCATGGATACATCATGGCTACGCTTGTTTGCAGGGTGCAGTTCCTAGATGATACCGACCCTTTCAACAGCACCAACTTTCCCGAGCCTAGCCGGCCTCCGCTGTACACTTTCCGGGAAGACATCACCCTCGTTACCCAACTGGCTGGGATTCACCGATTGCTCCGAGCACCCCACAAGGTAGCCCCGAAGGGGAAGCTATGCAAACCACCCGCGGGGGGCAGGGGTGGGACAGGACCCGGGGGTGTGTGTGGAGACGAGAGAGAAGTGGGGGGACTACCTTGGTGGGTTTTAAGGGCTGGAAACTTTCCCTACGACTAGGATGTACAATATTCTCTTAATGAGTCTGTGTGGGGAGCAGCGGGAGGGGGGCTACTGCTGCGGCATAGAGGTTAGAAACCTCCTATGTGGGATGGTGATTTAGAAAGCTGCTTCCTTAGTGGCCTCACTGAGACTGCCATGCAGGTTGAGGACTCGGCATGCCCCAGGGCTAGCCGGGTAGAGCAGCTTTCTTGAGGATGCTGGGCTCCGGTTCTGGGGGCGGTGGGGGATGGGAGCTCCAGAGCAGGTGCTTCTCCAGCTTTTAGAAGGGATTTCCAAAGTTTCCCCTTGGGATCGGGTGTTGGATTTTAAAGTGATTTGACTTCGGCCTTGGGCTGTGATGAGCATAGCTCCCTTGTCCGTTAGGTGGCCCCCAGAGTGAGGAGCACAGTCTGCCCATGTGGGGGCTAATGATGGAGGAGTGAGTGGACATAACTTACTAGTCACTTTGAAAGTGATTTTGGCTATAGTTCCCAGAGAGAGAGGCAACGAAGGGGGAGGGTGGAATGGGTGGAAGAAGATGAGGAGCGAGCGACAGAAGAGAAAACAGGGGTCGCTTATTTCACTTAAAAGCAGTGCCATAATCTAATGTATGCAGCTCCAGGCCAGCCAGAGGAATCGATTAAATGCTGGGTGTGTGTGTGTGTGTGTGTGTGTGTGTGTGTGTGTGTGTGTGTGTG